AAAAAAAAAAAAAAAAAAAAAGAAAGAAACGGAAAATCGTATGAAAGAGAAACGCAATAACGTAAAACGTTCTCTCGTTAGGGTACTTACCAATCTCCTCATTGGTTATCATCGCACGACAGGAGACGAGGAGGAATGGGGTAAGAAGAAGAAAATAGAAAACGACGGAGACGGCCATCTCATCTCGTGGCATCTCGACGTCGTTGGTTTAACGTGTCGTTTCGTCTTCGTCTTCGTCTTCTTCGTCGTAGTTGGACACAATTTTTTCACTCTTTTCGAATTTTCTTCCTTTCTTTCTTACTTTCTTGCTTTTCTTTTCTTTTTTTTTTTAATCTTTTTTTTTTCTACACCTAAAGTACAAGCAAAAAGAAGGAATTCGCGTTCCTTTTAACCCTTTCCCCTCCTCTACCTCTTCTTCTCACTTTACCTTCACCACCCTCCAATTTCTTTCTCCCTTCCCCTAACTAACTCTCCCTTTCCCAACACCACCACCACCACCACCACCAACACCACTAACCACCACTACTTTTCGTCAAGCAACTCTTCAACAGTCTTCTATATCTCTCTTTCTTTTTTTCTGTCTTTCTGTCCTGTCTTTCTCTTTCTCTTTCTTCAAAGTACTTCCTGTGACTCGAACACTTCCAACACTCCTTCACTAATGCTAGGCTTATACTCCCTTTTCTCACCCTCGTGGTCCTTCACTCCTTCTTCCTTCTCATTATTGTCATCCTTCCTCACGAACACCCTTCTTTTTTTTTTTCCTTTACCTCCTCTTCCTTCGGAAACCTGCGAATATCATCGTTAGTGCGTTAGAAAATCGTTTTCAAATGTCTACGATTAATGTTAGAATATATGAATGTATGTAATATATGTGTGTACATCTCGTTATTTATATTTAATATTTATTGTAAGAATTTTTAATAGGAAAAACACAGAATTTTATTTGAAAAGATTTCGATACGTGGAATAACTTATATTATTCCGTGCTTTTAATCTACAAAATAATGTACTTTATTCATATTTTCGATTGTTTAAAATAAAATATATTTGTTTTAACGTTTCAGATCAGTAATTATTTTAAATTGAAAATTTGTATATATAATAAAATATCAAATCGAAATTATTTATTCGTAGTATATGTTATTTTTAAACAAAAATATATTTTGTATTATTCTTACATTAATAATTATATAAACTAATTCTGAGATACAAACACAAACACACCACCCATAATAACTAATACTAAAACCTTCCATATAATCTCGTTCAACTGTCGATCGATTGAGGATTCTATCCTACTCTCTCTCTCTCTCTCTTTCTCCCTATCTACCTTTATGTTCCCTCTCTCTTAACGTCGTATCATCAAATTTTATCGTTATCGTTGCCTAAAAAGTTTCACTTCAAAAACAAAGTAAAAAGAAACACACACATACAACATTAAGATTAATTTTCTTTTTTACAAAAAAAAAAAATGATTTTTCTTCTCTGTTTCATTAAATTCAAAATAGATTTTTTTCTGCAGCAAGCACATACGATTAAAAGATTTCAGTGCATGAGCACATAGAAAAAATCGTTAGAACGTTCTCGACGATCTCAAGGATCGTATGTGTTGACGATTTAAAACCCTTTGAGAAAAGAAGTTTACATCAATCGTTAATTTAATCAAAGCAGTCACCTCATTTTCGTATTCTAGGCCAAAAGCTTGCTATAGCTTTTCCTTCATCTTCCTATATCAGCTTAGTTACACAAAATCGTTAATCGTAATAATAAATTTTCATAGTACCTGACAACTAATAGGCTCTTTACAAACATAGTTTAACAATCAGTTGTTTTCTTAATAAAACATTCTTGTCCATTTTATCTCTCTCTCTCTATCTCTCTCTATCTCTTACTTTTGTCACTCTTTTTCCTTTCACTCACGTTTCCCTCATCAGCCACAAAAGTTTAACGTAACAGATGAAAATTAATTTGCAACTTTTTGCCTAAATTAATTATAACTCTGAAGAATTTTCCAAGACACGAGACGATATATCCCCTTGAGCCCTTTACAAATTACTATTTTACCTGTCATATCGTAAGATAAAGAAATTAAACTTTTTGTTTGTTTTTTTTACTTTAGTTTTTCTTTTCTTACTTTATTTTATTTTTTTTTTCTTACTTTTTACCTTATTTTCTATTCGAAGAGAATCAAGAGATTTTTTTTATTAAAACACACGACTACGCGATGTTAGATAAATTAATATAACAAAAGTATAAGAATGATACATTTTTTTCGGAAGAAAGTTCAATTCTTCTCCTTCTTACCTTTCAAATAATATATATATATATATATATATAATATCAAAAATATATGACACATGAAACGTGATACATCGACGGCCAAAGTTATACTACTCTCCCCTTCTGTTTATTTCTTCCTTGTCCTACAAAATGTTTCTCTCATTTTTTGCCACCGTCTTCTCTCACACTCGTTTTCCATCCGTCCTAACTGTCTTTTTCTTCTACGAAAAGACGAAAAAACCAAAGACAAAGTATCGAGCTTGATCGGGACGATTTATAACGACGATAAAAAAACTCTAAACATGACAAATACAATATATAATGCATATACATACGCATACCCACTCACGCACTCACGCATACAAACACTCATAGAAACAACTATAAATCTATAACATCTTCGTTCATAATAAATTTGCAAGTTTTAAGGCGTGCTTCGGAACATTAATTTCCACTTTCCATATTCTCACAGCATCCGCTTCATGAGCGGAAGGAGTAATGGAATACACATAACCCAAAGCTGTGTGTGCCGTGGCATGCGATTACAATAAATAAGAGGTGAGGTGCATTACCGCGAACGTAACCATTTTCTAAGCTCGTAATCCGGGACCATTAAGCACGCGACGACTAACGAAAATATCCACAGATGATTTTCATACGTTCTGTTATCTCCTATATCCGACCTCTGTGTCAAGAGGATACGTCCTATTGTGATACTGTAATGGATGCTAACGTAGCTATTTTGTAAACGTCACGTTCGCGTAACAGTTATGGGTCAATAAAAAAACTAAGAAGCCAAAACATTTCTAAAGAAATGCAAATATTTATTCGCAGAATGTGTATTATATGTACTGGATATCATAAGAGTCCATTTACCGAACTGAATGAATATACAATTTTTTTTACTAAGTATTTTTTTTAACTCCACTATATAGAAATAAAATGAAATTAAACTTGTAACAAAAATATTATTTCATTTGGCACAAATGAACTATTATATAAGCTTAGAAACAGAACGGATTATTTGCATTGCTAAATGTCATTTAATATGGTTAACGTATAACATTTTAATGGACTATAATAATTAAGTACAATTATATAATAATAAATCAATAATTTTGTAGATTATGATAAAAATAATATGTTTTAGATGTTGTCGTATGTTAAAGGATTAATAACAATGTAAGTGGAAAATCGTCACTCGAAATAAAAAACAAAATATCGTACAATAGTTCTATTTACTAACTCAATATAGATTTATTTGTATCCTCGATAAAACGCGCGATTTTTGTATTATTATATAAACAATATACTACGTAATTTAAAAAAAAAAAAAACAAAAATTAAGAATCTTAACTCTGTGTAGTATTTAAAAGAGAAAAACGATATTCTTAGAATATAAAATATTAGAAAATATTAAATAAATGGTTAACATTTGGTGTTGACGATAAGCCATAGAACTACTATATTCGTGTCACGAGTCGCACGTAACTGTTCCTAGCTTCGTGAGTGCAAGCTAGCACCATGCAAGTGGTACGATGTTTCACATAAGTACCAAGAGGAGCTAGACGGTTAATACTAAAACCCTGGGTTGTCCTTACGTCGTGATCATTACGCGTGTGCATCCTCTAAGCGAATGTTTCTACGTTCCTACTTTCCTATCCTGCAACAATCCAACTAACCACCCAACCAACCAACCAGCCAACCAACGAACCAACAAACCAGTCAGCTATCCAGCCAGCCAGTTAACCAAGAGAGAAATAGAAAAGACAAAGAGAGAAAGAGAGTAGCCGAGAGAGAGAGAGAGAGAGAGAGCAGTTACAAGCGGTAGATAGCAGTATTAACGCGTGTGTTACAAGACCGAACGTTGGGAAACCCGCATTACGCATTAGTATCGGCTTTTACAGACGTTAAAACCGATCGACATTGCGTAGGTACATTGCCGAGTGTAAAACCGATAAGCTCGATTAACGTCCGCGATACTCCAACGCTAAAATGCAATTTAAGCGGTTCCTATTCGCTCGACACTGACGCCCCAACAAAGCAAGTACCGATGCATAATGTGGTACTCCCTCTACTCTATCTCTACCCCTATCTACACTCTTCAATACATAGGACAGACATACACATAAACACATATATATATTTACATAGGGCATCTCAAACTCCATCACGAAACTATTTGTATGTGAGAGAGTGTTAACGCGTCCGGATAGTACAGTGTCGTCAATCCTTCTGCTAATTCCTATCGGTGATACCCAACGTCTAGAAAGGATTAATTCTCAAGTACCGTGCGTGAGCTCACATCGAGTTTCCATCGAACTTTTGTCTTTACCGACACGCTACTTAAGAAGGAATGAACATTCTGAAACTTGATCGAGCTAACAAACAAGTAAAATCTAATATAACGTCCTAACGCAAAGTGTTCATTCCGAAAATATTTACTATCTATCTAAATTATAATAGTATTTTTACATTAGATAATATGTGATTTTTTTGAACAAAAAAAAACAATTATATATATATAGATAAAAAAAAATGTTTCCATTGAGTACTTTGAAAAGTATATTTTTTCTGCATCGCGTATTCGATAAGCTTGAAACGCGGCGCGTTAAGAAAAAAAGGTGAAAGTCGAGAAAGATGCGGGCGGGTGGTGCCAGGTTTAGCATAGATATTTTTTCACAAGTACGTATCGAGTAATCTTTCGAAAAGAAAAATGAAAGAAAGAAAGAAAGAAAGAAAATACCCGTTGTTGTTGCAAAACAATGACCTAGTTTCATGTAGGCGAAAACTTAGCGAGCCTATATCGAATTTACTGTTTAATATACAGAGCCACCATAGGGGTTCGTTCCAAGGGAACGGATCAAAGAGAACTTCGTTATGGGTTCTAAGTACATGCTAGAACGAACGTCTATGGATATAAGTTCTTGATGCGAACAGTAATCAAAGGACGATCACATTAGAAAACTAACTCCAGTCTTGCGTATTATCCAACAAAGTATATAAATAAATAAGCCCATGGATAAAATTAATTGTATCAAACAAGAATTAAAATGAAAGTGTTCAAATACATAAAACAATATTTTTACAAAATTATTTAACAATTCATATATGTTAAACGTTGTATTAAAACGTGTACTGTTACACATTGCGTAATACTGTTGTTGATTTGGAACAAGTTTCACAATAATAAGGCTGATATCTATTGAAAAAAGAAATAAAAAGAAAAGAAGGGAAGGGAAAAGAGGAAGAGGGTAAGAACATATAACACGCACGATATTTCGCCTTTACGTTTTGGCATCTAAGAGTATTGAAAAATTGACAAATTGGATAGTTTTATCGGCGACTCCTTAGCTTTATCGAATACAACCCTTTGTCAATGTCAAATGCTCCTATATCAAATACAAGTGCCTACCCAGCTATTACATTTCCTAGCTATCCTGACATCGCACGATCCTGGTCACGCTAGTATCCTTGATGGAATTTTCAAACTCATTTTTCCATTC